TAATTTTATTAAATTTCAAGTTCTTTGCAACTTCTGTTGCCTATATAAGATATGTTAAGGTCCCAAGACAAACGGATTCAATCCAGATCTGCCGTGGCGCACTTGTTTCAGAAACGTAAGATCCGTGGTTCAAACCTCACCTCTGGACAAGTTTTGCGACTTCGGTTGGGAAGGAGGCGTGAACTTCCTATTAAATGCTCTTCCGCGGTGCTCTGTGATAAGACCGTAAGGACTTCTTGGGGCACCTAAATCAACATTAAAAAAAAAAAAAAAAGATCTGTCAATTGGTCATTCAGAATCTTTACTTCATCATCAAGAGTGAGTTTAATGAAAAAACTGACGTTGTTAAGTATCATCAAACATTTATTCCAAGAAGCAATGAAAATAAAAAATTCAAATTAATTCATGCATTAAATTAGATAATACACTTCATTACTACTTTCGCCTGGAAGGTCTAACTTTTTTGGACGATGTAATTTCAAGATCTTTCTTAGCTTTTTGCTAGTGGTTTGACTGCTTCAATCCTTGAGCTCCATCTTGTGAACAGCAACAACAACAGAAATTTTAAGTAATGATTGGTCTGTCTTCTCATTTAAGAACTTTCCAACGAACTGGGCTGCAACTAAACAGATTGTATAGTTTTTGAATAATAACAATATAGGGTTTTGTAGGAGCCGTTAACTCAATTGCGTGTACTGCACATAAGTTCAAACTGCGAGCAGAGCAAGGAATGAAAATTGCTTGTAAATTATTCTGCCTAATCAAAGCTTGAACTCCATTGTAAATAATATTTAAAATTCTTACAACTAAAACAAGTCTCTACAATAAAAAAACTTACAACTCTCTACTAATTTTCTATCATTATTAAACAAATCTTATCTGTTTTTAATTTTTTTATGACTTCATGATTTCATTCAGAAAAACAAGATTTCATTCAGAAAAAACATGATTGCATAATGATGCAACTATATTTTTTCTTGTTAAACACGTTTCTGTTTTCTTGCTAATACTGCTAAATCCCTTCTGATCCTTATTTGTTACTTTTAATAATGAGAAAATATAAGTAAATTGAAATAACCAAAAAGGGTTAAAAAAGGTTTGCCCCCCCCCTCCCACCTCTCTTCTTTCTTTTTCATAGATTGACTGAGGTCGGCTTCGCCCTCTCCCCCTTCTTTTTTTTTTTATTGTAAATCAAAATACACTGCTGATTATTTTGTTTCTATATACATAAAAAAATAAGAGTTAGCTGTAAGAATATTAGAAAAACTTCAAGCCTCAGCTAAAGTTAAGGATCACATTGCTTCTCAAGTTATATCAGAAAAATCATATGAACAAGGATTAAAAAGAATTAAACTTGCTACAGGTGCAAAACCTTTACAAATATCAGTAGAAACCTCAAAAAATAAATCTAAACAGATCATCTTGATTGATTTTTTAAGGATTCAATCAAGAATTTCTTTGTCCAACAAGAAACTAATACAGCTAGCAAAAGAACTCAGGTAAGAACGATTTGAAGTATATCTTACTCTTTTTAAGGAATTTAGTTAGCCTAAATGTATATGTTTTTTTTTTATTAGAATATCAATTAAAAGGAAAACTTGCATACAAGCAAACCTACAAACAGCACTTCCGGCAATTGATGGTGCACTTGAAGATTTATTTATAATTGGTTATCAAGAATTTGATGTTAAAAAAGGAAATTTAAAAGTAAGGGAAAATATCCCTATTATTAAGTGCATCAATATTGAGGAGTTTGTAAAGTTGCTAATTGCGATAAAAGAAGTGAACTTAAGCAATCAAACAGTCAAGCTCGGTATTGATGGAGGAAGAGGCTTTCTAAAGGTAAACAATTTCATTCTAAATATGTTTATGAGAATTATGATTCAGTCAAAACTAAAAAAAAATGGTACAACATTTTGTAAAAATAAAAAACTTCTTATTTTAGATTTTTTTAAACCTACTGGCAGATTGTGAAACAATCTGCCAGTAGGTTTAAAAAAACAATCATGAAGACAAAACTACAATGAGTACATATGAAGAACCTCAGAATTCAAAATATAAAGGTTCTGTAAAAGCTTCTTTTTTACTAGCTTTAATTCCAAATGTTCCTGAAAGTCACTACAATGTTTCTATATTAATGAATTGTCTTAATTTAGATAAAATAAAACACTCATTTGTAGCTGATCTTAAGCTTTGTCAAATAATGTGTGGTTTATCTCCAAGTGCTATTGCTACATAACCGTGCCATATATGCGATTGGAAACGAATGCACTCATTTAAAGAAGAAAAGCTTAGAACTTTTATTTCTTTAGAGGAGCAGTACACAAAATTTTCTCAATCAGGTGCAATAAAACAAAATGCTAAAGAATTTTGCAACGTTATTAATCCTCCATTGATACACGCAGAAACCAGCGACCACTTAGTGGCAGATTATATTTTCCCGCCAGAGTTACACCTAATGGAGGGAGCTGTTAATCATATTTATAATCATATAGAGAAATGTGGTAAATAAAACGAAGTGGCTAAAGTATCAATGATTTTAAAAATTTCAAAAGAGCTCCAGAATAATGCCTTTGATGGCAACGCCTCCTGTAAAATCTTTAAAAATTATGATAAGTACATGCGTGCATTTCCAATTAATTTAAAGCCATTGGCAGAGGGGCTTAGAATTTTAAACAATTTGGTTGAGCCTTGTTTTGGACAAAATCTTCATAATGATTTTCAAACACATTAAAAACTTTGAAGATCACTACAGAACACTTGTTGAAGACTATGGAATAAATGTTTCATTGAAAATTCATTTTATCATAAAACATATAGGCGTTTTTTGTGCAGTAAAAGGGCGTGGATTAGGCTGCTACTCTGAACAAGCTGTTGAAGCAATTCATTACAGCTTTGTTAATGAATCTTGGAATAGACTAAAAGTTTCTAAAATTTCCTTATTTGAACATTTGAAAAAAGTTGTTATCAGTTTTAACGTAAAAAACCTTGTAAATGTTGCAAATGCTTTGGAAAAAATATTTATGTTTTAACTTTTAAATATAACCTTTTTATGATAATATGTTACACAAAAATATGTCAAGTTTATTAATAAACAGAATTTTAATAATATAAAACATTAGTTAATGTGCATGGTTTGTATATACATTTAATATATTTGTATTTTACAAATGACATATTTATGACAGTCATATCCAAACGATATATTCTATTTATGACTCATTTCCACACTTTAAATGGTTAACTTTTGAAAAATTGATAAATTTGTTATATAAATTTATTTAAAAAATAATAATATAAAAATCCACGAATTTGGGAAAAATTTTCTAAATTGGGCTCTTTTGGCCCCTAAAACGTAAATATTTTGCTAAAAGGAATTTTATGATTTTGGTGACATATCAAACCTAAATCTACTCATTGTAACGAATCCAACGATGTATGACAATGGCCGGGGTCAAATCGCAAAACTAAAAAGTGGTTGCAGGCAGGTGTGATATTGTTCTATATAGCCTTTATAGTACAATAAAAACTAATTCTATGTCATTATGTACTGGATAATTATTATTACTTCTTAGCATCATTTCTTTAAACTTTTTTTTTTGTACTTTTGTCACACTGACTTATTCTTAAAATCGTTAAATCGCTAAAAATCTCAAAAGTCATACAAAAAAAAAATATTAAATTTTGTGGTTTAAAAGTTGCATAAGTTTTCGACTAATAATGTAACGATAAGTTTGTTATTTTTTAACTGTTAATGTTTAGCTCAAACTTATGGTGTTAGTTTTGTTTACATTTTTTAAATAAATGTAGAAGTGCTTATTTAAAGATAGTTTATTGATATTTTTTTGTTGTGCTTTTGGAACGACTAATAATAAATTTCTAGATTAGAATTAAATTCATGTCTAGATAAGAATCGGTAGTGTTTTTGCCGTATTTACAAAAAGGTTTTTTATATCTCTGTATAAAGGTATTCTATATATCTTTATTTAGAATATAACAATTTGCTTTTAAATCCAGCAAAAATACTACAACACAGAATAAAAGCCTGAAGGGATTTAATAATTGCCTGGCCGAAAGAACATTCTTAAAGAATGTAACAAATCTAGAGCTGAACAAGCAAGCAAAAAATACGGTTCACACAGGTAGTAAAGATTGTCTAAAACTTTGATATTTATACCTATAATTGAGGTGCAAGAAACAATTACTTCACCTTAATCGCGATTTTCGTAGTAATTAACTTCTGAATTGATTGAATAGTTGTTAAAAACTTATCCAATAAACTTTTAGGAGATCAATCCACTTTCGATTACAGCTTTCAAAGCTTACAAATTACATTTCAAATTTTTCATTTTTTTCGTTAAAGCGCCATTTTTACTTGCAGCTGGAATAATTATACAACTAAGACTAATATTCAAATCCGATATAGTCACTATATCGGATTTGATATAGTGACTATATCGGATTTGAATATTAGTCTTAATATTATAACTAATATTCAAATCCGATATAGTCACTATATCGGATTTGAAATCATTTTTGGCTTCGTTCTCCCTCAAGCTCTTATATCTCTTTGGTATTCCGTATTAAAGCTAAAACTCAATATTAACAGGGAAACATACAAGATGCATACAAAGAGGGAAGGATATCCAAATTCAGTAGTTTTACTGCGTACGTATTTATTGATGCTTCCTAACGTTGATAAATGTGTGGCATGCCTACAAAATATAAAACCTTTCATATTTTAATTTTTTACTAAATTTTTGTTCAGTGAAGTTGCAGTTATAAATTTTATAACTTAGATGGTGATATATATATATATATATATATATATATATATATATATATATATATATATATATATATATATATATATATAGATGTAATATATAGTATATATAGATGGTAATATATATATATATATATATATATATATATATATATATATATATATATATATATATATATATATATATATATATATATATATATATATATATATATTTTACTATACATTATTTGAAATCTCATCTCTTATTGTTTCATACCGCCTAAGTTCATTAATTGTTATTGAGGGATGAATATTCTTTAGAGCAAGTTCAAAGTCGCTATTTAATACTACTACGCTGTCTACACTTATTGGATTGAAATTTTGTTCGTGGTCATTTATTATTCTACGATAGCAGTTCATTTGTGCATCAGAAGCAAGAGCATAAAAATCGGCACCGGTTAAGTTGACAGGGCATTTGTTTAATACCATTTCCAAGTCAAATTTATTGCATAGATTCATTTTTCGAGTGACTGCTTTTAAAATACGCATCCGCTCCTCCTTTGTTTGAGCCAAACCAATGTAAACTATTTTATCGAAACGCCCAGGTCGCAGCAAAGCTGGATCGAGAAGATCAGGTCTATTTGTTGCTCCAATAACAAATACATTACTGTTGCTATGGATACCGTCAAGTTCCGAGAGTATTTGAGAAACGATTCGATCCATTACACCACCTGAATCACCAGATCGGCCACGATTAGGCGCTAAAGAATCGAGTTCATCAAAAAAAATTATACACGGAGAATATTCTCTAGCTCTTTTAAAAACATTACGAACATTTTCTTCACTTTGCCCAACATACATATTAATCAGTTCCGGACCTTTAACGCTGTAAAAATTTATTGTAAACTCAGTAGCAATCGCTTTTGCAAGAAGTGTTTTACCACAACCTGGCGGACCATAAAAAAGCAAACCAGATCGTTTCAAACCAGAAGAAAACAAATGCGGAAATTTTAGGGGCAATTCGATGGTATCAAGAATGTCTTGTTTGACGCTATCGAGCCCTCCAACATCATTCCAAGTAACTTTTGGTACATTTACACTTCCAGAAGAACCTGCTTTTCGTTTTCGAATAGTTTCTAAAACTGAATTTATAACATCTAAATTATGAAGATTACCTTTAGATAAATATAATTCCTTAGTAAATGCCAATAAATCAGAATACACAAAACCTGCAGTTTTTCTGGACAGGTCTTCAACCATTCTATCTTCAATACACCAAGTTCGAGTAAACATTTTTAATATTTGAAAGCGCTGTAGCTCATCAGGCATCCCAATAGTTACATGATAAATAAATTCTGAAAACAAACGCATTCTCACATCCTTACTATCAAAAGTGCTACCAACTAATAATATAGGTGATTTTTCTGACTCTTTAAGATTCCTTATAAACGCTTGAATAGTTCTTCGTTCTTCATGAAAGCCTTCTTTATTTTTTCCTAATAAATGTATATTTTTAAGATAAAGAATACAAGGAGAATTCTGTCTAGCATTAAAAAATAACTTTTCAATGAGTTTTTCCGAAAGCCCTAATGTATCACCTCCAAGCTCATGACAATTTTCTTCCAAGAAATGCCAACAGAACTTTTGACAGATGTTTCTCATGAGCAGGCCTTTTCCTACACCAGGCGGACCTTCTAATAACAAAGTAACAGGAGAAACAGGAGAAATATCTAATACCAAGTTTGCATCTTTTTCAGAAAAATAACTTTTGCTTAAAAGAGTCATTATTTTTGTAAGTTCATTTATAGGTTCAAAAAAAGCTTGTAGGTAATGCGTATCATTAACATACAATATAGGAAAAGGATTGTTTCTGTGGGTACACGAGCATAACGGTAAATAACAATTAACAGCAATATTTTCCAAAACATCAGTATGTATTACGTCAACAAACATTGAATTGGTATCGTTATCAGAATAGCTGTCGTTTTTAACAGACTTAACATAAAACCATAAAAGTGATGGAGAATATGGTACTTCATCTGTTGACACGTGAATTGGAAATAATTCTTTTTCACTAACCAATCTAGGATATTTAAAGTACTCTTTTATGAGAGAATCGATGGTTTCTTTGTTAGTGATACCAAATGGACATCTCACTGGAGAAATTATGCATTCAGATGCGTATTGATTGACATCGGACTCATTCAAACACTGCGATAAAACTACATTAACATCAATACCCCCGTTTGCGTGACAATCATTGTAATATTTAACATTTTTATGACACAAGTTGAATAAACTTCCTGGAGAAACATAGATGACGTCATTTACATAGCGACTAAAGCAGCGAGAAAATTCATTTTCATAAAAGTCAATTGAATTGTGTTTTTCACAACCATCGCTTAGAGAAATTCTTACAATAAAATCGTTATCATTTTTAGCTTCGTCAAATTTTTTGTTTATTAGAGACTTGTAATCCTCTAACTTTTCATCATGAAAAAAATTACTACATTTAAGCTTTATCCAAGACTTATTTAATAATTTCAAATGCAGTAATGTAGCCGAAGTTGCATATGCTTCACGATTATTAACTAATGATGTATCTTCTCGAACAAGAACCATAATCGCATAGTTACACACATAGAAACAAAAATATAACTTGAGTTAAAGTAGTTAATTTATAACAGTTCAACGATTATTGATCAATTCAAAACAAGTATTTGATTATTTTTAAAATATCTTTGCAGTTATAACCGCAGTGCAGCTAAATGAAATATTATTTTAATAGTTTTTAGAGAAAGTATTTTTAACTATGGAAAGCCTGTTATATATTTAAAAAATGTAAATATAAAAGTTAACCTTTATTATTAAATTTACTATTAAGTAAATATGAAACTTTACCTCCAACTTTAGAAAATATAAACTAAAAGAGCACCTGGTCAAAATAAAAAAAATCTAATGATAAAAATTAAAAAAAAAAACAAAAAAAAATCAAAATAAAAGAGTTTTCTGCCACTATTGCCTTTCATTTATAAAATGCCTAATTTATAATTGCCTCTCATAATGCATTTCACCATCTGTATTTCTAATTGCCTCTCATTTATAAAATGCCTTCCCAAACCCTAAGTTTATTACGTACTTGGTGATAGGCATCATAGTTTTCAAATGATGCCATCAGCGATATTTTACATCACCTAAATCTGAATTTATATATATATATATATATATATATATATATATATATATATATATATATATATATATATACATATATATATATATATATATATACATATATATATATATATATATATATATATATATATATATATATATATATATATATATATATATATATATATATATATACATATATATATATATATATATATATATATATATATATATATATATATATATATATATATATATATATATATATATATATATATATATATATATATATATATATATATATATTACTGTTATTAGGTATGATTTCTAAATAATTATTCTTGTAGAATATTTCACAATGTAGCCCATCAGTGGCGCCAATTCAATTTTTGGTCTTTGAGATAGCTAACTTCAAGATATGGAGCAAACTCCAAACATTTATATTTTTATACTTATGTCAAATAAGGATGCTTTGCAAAAAATTGCGATGATTGGAGCCTGAGAACAGAAAACCCCTAAATTTTCGCCCCCTCTTGCCCCAAACGTGAGAACAACAAGTTGATAATATATTTTTTGTACTATTTTCAATAAGACTTATATTCATCGATAAATTTTAAATTTCATAGTAAAATATTTTAGCGTTCAAAAAGTATAACCATATAAAGTTTAAACCTCCTCAATTTGAGGAGGTTGCAATTTTTATATTGTTATAATTTTTGAACGCTGAGAGATAATACTATGAAACTTAAAATCTATCGATGAATATAAGTCTAGTTAAAAATAGTACAAAAAATACTTTATTAACTTGATGCTCTCACGTTTGGGGCAGGGGGGTGCAAAAAGTTTAGGGATTTTTTGTTCCCAGGCTCCAATTATCGCAATTTTTTGCAAAGCATCCTTATTTGACATAAGTATAAACATATAAATGTTTGGAGTTTGCTTCTTGTCTGGAAGTTAAATTGAATTGGCGCCACTGTAGCCCATACAGATTGTTGGAAAAATGCAATAAAATGGCGAAATATTTCTATGTGCTGAAAATTATTTGTTATCAAAAACCTTCGATTTACTTTATCAAAAATAATTTCAAACGGAACTAAAAATAAAAGAAAAAGAAAATGAATTATTAAACCTATTTCATATCTTTCATTATTGCAGAATTTAAGGTTCAGTTTCACAAATTATACAAAGTTAACAAAAAAAGAAAACTAAAACATTTTTTAAGGACAAAAGAAGATCCATCAACTTGTGTTAATGCAACTCAAAGAATCCTCAAGCAAAAACTTTTTATTTAGCAAAATTTCAAAATCAAATTTTATAATAAATTTATTTTTTGAGTTTTATAATGTATTGTCATACACAACACACTATTCACCTCAGATATGCACTACTATGCACATAAATTTTTAGAAGATCAAAACTGTAACACTTAAAGAAATAGTAATAAATTAATGCCTTTGAAATATAAATTCCAGTAACAATAAAGTTTCACATTTGGGTATGAATTTGTTTGCGTCAAATCCTCATACATGTAAAAACAATAATAAATAGAAAAGGCACAATGATACTATAAAAAACTTTTTGAAAAACATATCTATTTTAAGTTGATTATTTATTAAACAATGCCTCTACTGCTTTTTCTATTAACCAACCATGTGTTGACAAGGCTATCATGCTACTTTCTTTATCAAATCCCATATCTAACAATTGTTGAAGTTTCATTTGACAATCATTATCTAATTCATTACTACCATTAGCATAAGTAATAGTCCAATGTTTTGCAGTCTTTAAAAATACCTCGTGTTGTTCTTTGTACTGTTGAGCAACAACTGCGTCTTGCGGATCGTCAGGCTCAGGAGAAGCAAGCAATGACTGGATTGATAACAAAACTGTTCTTAATGTCATTGCTGCTGCCCATTGATCTTTTAAAACATCTAAACATATTGCACCAGTAACAGAACTGATATTAGGATGCCATATTTTTGTTAAGAACTTAATTTTGGGAGGATTAAATGGGTACGTCTCTGGAATGTTTATATCCAGCTTGAACCTTCCATTTTCATATGGTGTGTCTGGTGGGCCAACAATTTCACCTTTTAATTTAGTAAAACTTGCACCATCGACTAACTCTAATTTGATGTTATTCTTTGAAACTTCTTCACTGCGTATAACTTCTTTAAATTCTCGTTGAATTCTTGCAGTTGCAATATTTGACATTATTTGCAGCTATATTTAAACTTTCATGTATATATTCAGAACCTTAAAGCACATATTTAATGTAACAACTTTCAAAACAAATATTTAACTATAAAAAAAAATTATACATAACTTTATATAAATATATACATTTTTTAATGTATGAACAAAACTGATAAAAATATCACAATGAAAATACTTTATACTTTTAACATGCTAATTGTATATTAAAAGTATAAAGCATAAACTGCTGTTTATGCTTTATTTTTTTAATAATATATTTATAATATAAATTTAATAGTATATTTATCTGTAAATATATTGTACTTAAATCAACTAGTCATTAAATTTTATAATTGTATTTAAAGACGGTATCAAAGATAACCCTCAAATAAAATTGAAAACCCTCAAATTAAATTTTTTTTTATAATGGTTTTTCATACTTCTGCATATAATACATCCTTAGACATATATGTATAATAAGGCTATGACATCTTTGTATCCTCAATTCGCAAAAATAGGTGAACTGGTTTGAAAGTAACTACCTTTAATTACTTGCTGGGGCCCAATATCACTGAAATTTTCTTTCAATAGCATACCAACCTGAATTTATAAACAAATCAGAACTTGATTAAGAATTTTAAAAAATGATTATTGTGATCATTTTTAAATAAAATTTTTATTTAATAAAATTTTTTAATAAAATTTTTATTTAATAAAATTTTTTAATAAAATTTTATTTTAATCTCTTAAAATTCTTTTGAATCAAGGATTATTAAAGTTGACATTTTTGCAAGATAAAATGTATGACTTTTTAGTTACTATCAAACCAAAGTTCTATATTGTATACAGAATACAAAAATTTTATAATTATAATGTATATAAGTGGAAGAATTAGTGTATGACATATCATCAGGAAAAAATCAGTAACATGCATCTCCAAAAAAATTAGGTTTTCAGGACAGGGAAAAATCTGAACTGATGCTAAACTTTTTAAAGTTTAACATTCTTTTACATTCTTTACATTCTTACTCTCTTATATATAATGTTTTTGTCAAATTTATTATAACCACCCATTTGGTTAAAATTTATCAGGTCTGATTACAGTATTTTTTTAAATATATATTATTTATTCTCTGGTCTTCACATTATTACTACTATCAATGAATTTTCTTACTTAACCACTACACAAATAATATGTGATATTGGAAAAGACATCACATAGAGGCCAAAAAAAAACTAGTAACAAAAATTTAAAAATTTAATTAAAAAAAAAAGTAAAATGCATAAGAAAAAAATAAAATAAGAAATAAGAAAAGAAAATAAAAGATGAAAAATGAAAATAAGAAGGGGAGTTTAGAATAAATAAATAATAAATAAATCTATGGATTTACCCACAGCTACTGTGTTTTGCCCAAATAAAGGGTAAGCTGGCAAAACACTTGCTCAGCTGTGCAATAAATTATTATATTACTTTATAATTTTTAATATTTTAGAGTTTTCTGGTGGAATAGTTTGCTATACACCATTAAATATGATTTTAGTTTTTTCTTATAAATATATGTGTTTTGTTCATCTCAAATGATACTTGGAAGAATATTCCAAAGTCTAGGACCATAGTGGGATACCGCCCGATCACCAAAATGATTGCTGGATTTTGTTCTTTCAATTTCAGAGTTCTCTCTGATGTTGAGAAGTGAATCAAATTACACAATGATACTGGCGCTTCCTGGACAATAGACTTGTGCATTATTAATAAAACCTTGAAATAAATTCTTTCTCTAATTTTAAGCCAATGCAAATTGATAAATACCTGGTCATTTATTTGATTTTCTATTCTGGTTTTAAATACTAGTTTTGCTGCACAACTTTGAACAGACTGTAGTTTTTTTAATAGTAACCTTTCAATTGAAAAGTAGAGGAAGTTGCAATAATCTAGCTGTGAAAAAATTAATTAACATACTATGGTGCACAAATCTTTATGCGATAAGAACTGTTTTATTTTGGATATTTTGCTGATTATATTGTAACAATCTTATTTATCTGTGTTTTCAAAGACAGTTCATTGTCAAGTATCACACCCAAACTTTTTGTGGAGTCAACAAATCTAATGCATTCCTTGTTAACAAAAGTACCTTAAATAATAATATCTTTTTGAATGTTAGGTGGTGCCATAATTAGTATTTTTATTTTCGATTCGTTAATGCATAAGAATGATTCGCTCATCCATTTAGATATGTGTCCAAGACATTCTGGTATATCCAGAACTAATGCATTATACTGCGAAGAAGGAAGGAATGCTTTGAGAGTTTGATGATTGTCTGAGTATCCAAAAGTTTAAACATTGATTATGTTAAGATGTTTGTTCAGTGGTCTCATATAGATATTAAATAGTTTTGGACCCAGTACTGTACCTTGCGGTGCTCCATATTTGACATTTTGGTTTGTAGAGTATGAGTTACCAATTTAAACATTTTGGGTACGATTAACTAAAAATGATTCAAACCACTTGTGAGCTGAGTCCATTATGCCTATTTCACTAGTTAATAGCCAAGTAGTTTTTGTTGATCAATAGTGTCAAAAGCAGCACTTAGATCAAGTAACATAAGTACTGAAGGCGTATTCTTATCAAAGAGTTCAAATATATCATTGGTAGGCTTCAGCTAAAGTGTTTCAGTGGAATGATGTTTTTTGTATCCCTATTGATATTCTATATGAAGATTGTTTGTTGTCATGTGGAAATCTAGACGATTGGAAACTACTCTTTCTATTAGCTTGCTAATGAATACTAAATTGGAAACTGGTCTATAATTTTTGAAGTTTTCTGTATCTGTGGTGGCAGAGTCTAACTTCTTTATTATTGGAAGTAATGTAGCACTTTCTAGACAATCCATGCTGCTTGATTCTAGCGTTAGGTTTACTATTTCCACCCATATATTTTTATAATCTGGAGAACATTTTCCAAATGACATGACTATATTGTAAATTTCTTCGTAAGTTGTTGGATCAAAATTTCTTAAAAACTGACCATTATAATCTGATGCGCTTTTCCTTGTTTGGGGTGTTGAAGATTTGATCTGAGTTTTCTGATTTTTTCAGTAAAATAACTGTTTAAGTTGTTAAGTACATGTTCCTGAGTTTTATCTAGTAGCTTGTTTACCATTGAGAATAGACTTTTACTTGAGATGTTTTTATGTAATAGGTTAGAGAAATACGTTGTTTTTTTTTTATATAAGCAGTAATAGTTGTTTTTTTTCTGAGGCTTATATATTATATTTTGTCACTTTCAATTTTGGTTCACTTAAATAATTTTTCTGCTTTTCTTTGTTTTTGCCTTAATTAAATGTGAAATAATATAACTTAAAAGTCCCTTGATAGTAATAATATAAAGAAAACCAGCAAATAAATAGTACATAAAAAATTACTGTAATAAGATCAGATAAATTTTAGACAAATGGGTGGTAATAAGAAACTTTATGTATAATATAATATCATAAGCATAATATAAAAATGAAGCATAATATAAAAATGATTTTTTTTATGGCCCAAATCAACAAAATTTTAATATCATAACTAAATTGAAATTCATAAAAATGAAGTTTTCTCTACGATTCGAATCAATAAAATTACGAGAACATAACAAATAAACAATAAAACACACGTCAATAAATCAGACAGTCCAAAGCTGGTAGTTTCAAAAAACTGCATAGAGAAAAATATATACAAGAACATAAGCCATGGAAAAAAATGCAACATGCTGTATGTGCATATGGGTGTATAGGTGTAATATCGAAATTAGGCTGATCGTGTTGTACAATAAATTTTTGTTGTTAGTGACCAGTGTAAAATATTTAACTCTACGCCAAGCCAGTCATAATGGGTAAAACCATGATAGACTTAACATGTCCATGATGGATTTAACATGTCCATAGATTTATAAATGACTTCTGATTCTAAAAACTAGTTCATACCAGAGATAAATTTCTTCTTCCACTGCAACAATAATTGTCTTTCCAGAAACAAACTTCTTCATGTTAGGAAAATAGTCGTGCTAAATGACTGTTACAATAACCTTATAGGCTGGACCAAATATTATTTAAAAACTTTAGCATTTTTAGATTGCCATACACAAGCAGTAAATCCTCGTGTATGACCATTCATAAAAATAAAGTACATTAGAATAGAGCAGAACTGTTTTTATAAATATTTATAAAATAAAGACTCTTAGAAGAGTATTTAAAAATATATAAAGAGTATTTAAAAAATGACAAATATATAATCCAAATTTTAATTAATGTAATGAAAAAAAAGATATCAAATATAGCTCCAAACAAAAACTTACAAAATAAAATATTGACTTTAAAATCAATATTTTATTTTGCAGTCATTGCATACATACAATAATGCAATTCAAAAGCATGCATACAATGGTAAGACCTAAAAAAGGAAAAAAAAACATTAATGCTAATGTGTAAACGTTATTTGTGTGGTGTTTAAGTAATAAAGTTCTTACCCAAATTATATCTATTACTACTGACATTTCATTTGTATATATATACATATATCATGGGCTATTCTAGACTGTTTTCGACAGCGTCAACCATATTTGGATGCCCAAATATAGTTAAAGGATAGGCTCTGTATATATATACATATATATGTATATATATATATATATATATATACATATATATACATATATGTATATATATGTATATAAATATATATATATATATATATATATATATATATATATATATATATATATATGTATACACACACACACACACATATATATATATATATATATATATATATATTATATACATACATATATATATATATATATATATATATATATATATATATTTATATACATATATATATATATATATATATATATATATATATATATATATATATATATATATATATATATATATATATATATAATATATATATATATATATATATATATATATATATATATATATATATATATATATATATATTAGGGTAATAACAATTTTCATTTTTTTTTTGTAATGAAACTGAAACCTATCACATTTGAGGAACAATTATATGCAGATGACAG